GAAAACAGCTTCACTGAGCAGCACCCCAGGGCTAGGAGGGACACTGTCTGACTGACCTCCCATCAGTCCACCTCCTGACACAGCCCGATTCCACCCGGGCAGGGCTGAGGTCTCTCCCACTGCCCCGAGACTGTCCAGCCTGGGAGACATCCCCCACCTCCAGGCCTACCTGGACTCTGGGAAGGGGCTTGGGGGCCGTCTGAGCCGCCGTCTGGTTCCTCCAGGGCAGCGGGGGACAGAACCACTCGACCTCACTGAGGTAGATGAGGAAGGAGCACTCGGTGCCGTCCACCCCGAAGAAGGCGTAGCAGGGGTCAGAGGTCCAGCGGGCACGCATCCACTGTGGAGGGGGCCAAGTCTGAGCAGGTGGCGTCACCAGCCCCGGCCCCGGCCCCTGCAGGCTCCCCTTGCGTGCACACCCCCAGGGACCCCAGGTCTCCCAGGACGGGGCCCATGAAGTGTGTCCTTCCCTAGAGACACAGCAAGGAAGGGCAGAGACCTGGCCATCTGTCCTGGCCACCAAAGTCTCCAGAGGAGGCAGGGCCAGGACCCCCATCCCCTAGGCCTCAGCAGAGGAAGGCCCTGGGGGAGCAGGTGGGTCAGGATACGCAGGGGCCAAGTCCTGGGGGAAAGCCAGGAGGGGCAGCAGCGCAGGCCAGAGCTGTCCTTCATGCCTCAGGCCCTTGTCACAGGGCAAGTGGCCTGGGCAAGGTCCAGGGAAGGACACCCCCAGTGGTCCTCCAGGAAGGGGTTTGCAACACCACGCCCACCCCTCCAAAGCAGCGAGGAGGCTTTACAGCTGTGACCGTGACCGGCTCCCCGCAGGGACAGGCACACAGCCAGAGGTGGCCCTGAGGGGGCGGGAGGGACGCTAGGCCAGGGGAACTGGGGATGCCAGTACCTGACCGAGCAGAAACCACCCAGGATCCGGGTACTTTCATAGGTAACCTCCGTCAGGAGGGTGGGGACAGAGCGGCTAGTCCCACTCCTTCTCCCAGCTGTTAGGCATTAGGCTGCCGATGGCCCACGTTTAGTAGCTCTTTTACCAGGAGAAAGTGCTGGAGCCCCTCGGGGGACATCCTGGGGAGCCTGGGTTGGTGGCCATGCAGAGTCCAGCAGAGACACCGTTTCCCTGGGGTCAGCTTCAGCCAGCTGTGCCTGGGCCGGAGCCGCAGGCTGGGCAGAGAGGCCCTAGCTGGTGAACAGCCCCGCCAGGTCAGACTGCCAGGGCTAGGCTGGGACAGCCCCGGGGCCACCCTCCAGCCGCGCTCCCACCCCCCTCAGCGCCAGGGCTCACCTCCACCTTTCCAGAGCAGTCAGGGAACTTGGGGTCACTGGGCGCCTCGCACTGGTCCCGCCGACCTTCAGACACTGTAAGGAGAGGTCAGCATGCTGAGGACAGGGGTCCAGGGAGGAGCCAGGGTGGGGGGGACAGGATGGTCTTCGATGGGACAGGGCAGCGGTGGCCCACCTCCACCACCCGCCTGAGTTTTCTCGCCTGAAAGGCCAGGAGCTCAGCGGCCTGACGGGGGGTCCCCAGGAGCTGCCCTCCTCCACCCCCAGCCTGCTGGAAGAGGTGGCCGGAGCCCACGAGGAGCCCGGAGCAGCAAGGCTTCAAGCGCCCACAGCGCGGCCTGCCCTTTCGGAGGAGGGCAGGGATAGGCCTGCAGCCCCTGTAGGGGGGAGTGGAGGGGCCTGGGACCCTCCCCAGATGCCCCCTCTCTGGGAGCTGTCGAGCCCAGGGGCCGGACTCCAGGGACCTCCTCTGTCCCGGCGCCCTGTGGCAGGGGGTGGGGGGTAGGCCTGGGTCACCTTGCTGAGAGCCCGGCAGGACCCAGGAGCCAGGTGAGCTCAGGGGAGGGGTCAGGCCTCCCGAGCACCCCACCTGCAGCCCCGGTGCGTGGTGAACACCCGACACCCACCCTTGCTGTGCAGGAGCAGGCTGTGGCGCAGGATCTGGTCCACCTTCACCGCGATGTCCGACACGTTCTGGGCGATGGCCTGGATCCGCTCCATGAGGCCGGCTCCAGAGGGCAGCCTGGGCAGGAGAGGCGGGGTGAGCCGCAGGACCGGCCTGGCCGGCCTCCCAGGGCCTGGACCACTCAGGTAAGGCAGGAGCGTCGGCCCTCGGGGCGCCCAAGCCCTGCCTCAGCCCGGACCCAGGGCGGTGAGAGCCGAGGCCAGGTGGATGGGGAGGCCACGTGGATGGGGAGGCCAGGTGGATGGGGAGGCCACGTGGATGGGGAGGCCAGGTGGATGGGGAGGCCACGTGGATGGGGAGGCCAGGTGGATGGGGCCGCGGCCACCCAGCGGCCACCAAGGCAATGCGAACAGCACCATCACAGGAAAGCCACGCCCACAGGTGGCCGAGCAGAGAGGAGCCCCTGCCAAGAGCCCGAGCAGGGGCACCCAACGCACCCCAGGTGACACAGGCCCAGCCAGCTGCCCGGCTCTGTCCCCTCCCTTGGCACGGCACCAAGATCAATTCCACCCGCGGCAGCCCAGGGCCTCCCGGCTGCTCGACTCCAGTGACCATCCCAGAGCGGACCCTGGCATCCTAAAGGGTTGAGTGCCCCCTGCCACGCCCTCCGCCGCACCCCAATGCCGAGTTCACCTCCTTGTCTTGCGGGCCGCTCGGCTGCAGCTCCGGGACATCCTGTGCTGTTTTGTCTGTTGCGGACCCTTCCTGAGAGGAGCCCATGGGCCTTGTCTTCTCGTCCGAGGACAGCCCTGGGGCTGTTCCCTTTCCACACACCAGGTCTCTGTCACCCTCTGGCTCTGCGATGTCACCCCCTCCTGTTTAGGTTCTGTTTGTCCCTAGCCAAGGTCCGGGGCCTTCCTGGCCATGTCTAGTGGGAACCGCAGGGAGGGTTTTTCCGACCTGGTCTCTGATTGGGTCTACACAGCCTGTCTCCCCCTCTCTTCTGAGCAGGGGGACCTGTCGTCAGAGAAGGCACAGCAGTGACCCTCGGTGGCCAACTGCCCTCCTGCGTCATCTTCCCCCTCACTTCTACCATCTGTGGCCCATCTACCAAGGACAACTAGTGAGGGGGCTGGCGGGGACAGAGGCAGAGGAAGGGACAATGGGTGGATGACAGGAAGGGAAGGAGCCCCCCAGACACACACGTGCGCATGCGCGGACACACACACACGCACGCACACACGCACGCACCCCAGCCCGCCCCTCACAGTTCAGTTTGGCACCCCAATGCCAGCTTCAGCAACAAACAAAAATCTTAAATGGCAAGTGGCCGCTTTGGGGCTGGGGGTGTAGCTCAGAGCAATGCTTAGCACGGGTGGGGCCCCGGGTTCCATCCTCAGCACCGAACAAAAATGAATAATTAAAGTGAAGTGAAATTGGCACTGCTTTGGTCGGTTTCCTGTGGCTGCTGTGGCCAAGTGGGGCTTGGAACAACCCGGCACAAGACAGCTCTGAGGCCGGACGCCRGAAGGCAAAGTGCTGGCTGCTTYCGGGGCCGCGGGAGCCGCTTCTGCCTCTCTCAGCTCCCTGTGGCCCCTGGTTTGGGCTACGTCACCCCGTCTCTGTCCACATTTCCTCTTCTTCCAATCCAGCAATTGAACTAGGACCCGCCCTGATCCAGTAGGACCTTATCTTCATTTATGACATCGGCACAGACCCTATTTGCAATAAAAGGGGGCCAAGCCAGGCCTCGGGTCACTGCCCCCCAATCCTGAGGTGACCCTGGTGCAGCTGGCTGCTAGGAACTGCCCAGGCACCAGACAGGGCAGCCTCCTGTGGGCCCCAGAGGCTCCACTCCTCCGCCTCCTCAGGCCACCAGCTCTGGTCCCCAACTCCCTCTGCCCAGCCCCA